AACCAGCCTGCAAGACTTTGTCTAGCCAGAGATGGCAGTCATGAGTTTAAGAGTTTTTCCTGCCCCTTAGTGGTCACTGGTAAGTTTGCAGTCTAAATGTGGAGGTTTCCAATAATTTTTCCAACATTTGTCATCACGTTTGCTAACCAAGCGTCATATTTTTAAACATGTTGTTCCTTGGATAAGGAGATTGCTTGCCTAATAAAGTCAGCAAATGATTGTTTATAGTATTCTGTTTCTGTTCTCTGTTAGGAAGAAAAATGGATTCAAAAAGCAGAGGAATTGGCCCGAGGTGGCAAATGGTCAATGAAACTTCTGTTCCCTCTCTGACTCGTTCACTGCATCTATTCATCAGCAATTCAGTTCTGCAAGTGCCAAGAAGCTTCTCCAAAAAATGATTTAAGTGCATACAACAATTGAACATTACAAGATAGGCCCAAAGCAGCAGAAATATAAAAGTCCAATGTGTTCTGACTAGGATGGGCAAGGCGGATTTCTTCAAGATTCAGGAGCAAAAAAAAAGCAGGGTTGAGCTAGGGTGAAACAATTGAAACTTCCCTTCATTTATCCTCCCTTCCCCTTCCTTCCCTCTCTTTTTTCTTTCTTTTCCTTTCCTCTCCTCTTCCTTTCCTTTTCTTCCCTTCCTTTCTCTCCTTCCTACTTTCGTTTCCCTCTATTTATCCTCCCTTTATCTCTTTCTTTTTTTTCTTTTTCTCCTTCCTTCCTTCCTGTTTCTCTCCCTCCCTCCCTCTCTTCTTCTTTTCATCCCTCCCTTTCTCTGTCCTTTCCCCCTTCACTTCTTTCCTTCTCTCTTTGGCCTCCCCGATTGTTTTCCTTCCTGTAGCCACAGATGGCAATATCTAACGGGCCAAGAATGGAGGTGGATAAACCGTAGCATTTCGCCCCCAGAACATAAGCCCTGGTTTGCTATTGCAATTTAAAAGCCAGATATCATTACTAAGAAAAGGGGGGGGGGGATTGGGCTGCAACATTGCATCATGAAAAAGAAAAATGGTGATTCTCATTTTTTTTTTCATGGGGCAATTTCCAGGTTGGGGGAAAGTTTTAAAATTATATTTTATTTTTGAGAGAGGGGACAGCCCGGACAGACCACATTAATAGCCTCTGTTGCCCCTGAACAAGAAACAGATCATTCCTCATTTCTATGCCAACTGCTCTTCCTCTGACAGTAGTTAGTCTAAACAGCTTTCTAGTCCTCACTGTGCCTCTTGTGTAATTTCCTATAACGTAGGGAAGAAAGGTTCTTCCCCAAGCTGATTTCCTCCCGTGATTTCCAACATTCTCTGTCCCCACATTTGCAATGCTGCCATAGTCAAGAAAGTAGGCATTTGGAATGAAGAATCAATGTTTAAAAATCCAAGCCAGGTAGTTTAGCTGGTGTTCTAGACAGAGACCAGCTGGTTTGATGGATCCTGAAGGAATCACTTCACCGTGTGAAGTGCTTTTGCTATAACTCAATAACTGAGGATGGGGTGTTTTGTGTCCTTCCTTCCTTCCTTCCTTTCATCCATCCATCCATCTCTTCCTTCCTTTCTTCCATCCACCATCCATCCATCCATTATCCATCCATCCTCCATCGATCTACCCATCCCTTCCTTCCTTTCTTCTATCCATCTTTCCATCCTTTCATCAATCCCTTCCTATCTTTCATCCACCATTCTTCCATCCATCCATTCCTCCATCCATCCACCCCTTCCTTCCTTTCTTCCATCCACCATCCTTCCATTTATTATTCATCCCTCCATTCCTCCTCCCTCTATCCACCCAACTTTCCATCCTACTATCTATCCATCCCTTCCATCCTTCTTTCCATCCATCCATCCATCCATCCCTTCCATCCATCCATCCTTCCTTCCAT